ACATGAAAATTAGCGCCATCTATTGATGATTTTACAAAACTCAGTACTATCTATTGATGTTTACAACATCTAACGCCATCTATTGCTCAGTAGTAAAAAAAATCACGCACAAACGAAAAATTATTTGCAGCTTTGGAGACGGTAACCGGTCACGCTTAATATCAATCATTTATATTTCGGAAGAGTATTCGTTGACAATACCAAAATAGTGTTTTGTAGTTATCTGTGAAATTTTAATGCTGTTTTACTTTTAATTTATATTAACCTCCAATATAAATTTCCTCTGGTTTGGGTCTTCATAGTCAAGGCTGGTGTTGAGTCTCAGCGTGACGGTGGCGCTTCCCGTGGCCGTCGCGGGCTCCACTACAAACGCGCCCATCTCGTCCGACAGTCGCAAAGAAAACACAGAGTTTGATCCCTGAAAGTAAAATTGCCAAATTCAGCATTCGGTATTACAACTCTGATATTCTATGTCTAAGTAGGTTATATATACTTGAATAACTTAACAATAACTTACGACATCAGTATCAGTAACCACCATATCCAAGTTAGGCAGCGGTGTGCCCACAGGCAAACTCTCCGGTATATCCACGTGGTACTCGCGGCGGTTGAACCGCGGCGGCTCGTCGTTGACGTCCCGGATGGTGACCGTCACCGTCGCCAACGTCGATGTTATGTTGCTCACTACAGGGATACCGTTCACTAGCTCTGTAGCCTGCAATTTACAATAAAGGTTTTGCTTTTAAGGGGGAAAAAACTGTAGCCTTTAACCTAAATGATGATGGTTTTTAGTATTATTGGTAGTTACTTGTTTGATGTTTTTATTTTATAAAACAAATATTAGATGTTAATTCACTAGTTGTAATGTGACCTTTGGTCTAATATAATAAATACTTACACGAACGGTGAGATTTAAAGGTGAATTAGGGTCGGCGAGTGCCTCCCTGTCTAGAGGCCTGGCGGTCTTCAGCTCGCCCGTGTTGCTGTCCAGCCAGAAGAAGTCCAGAGGATCTGATGAAAGCAGTAATTTCTGATTACATCATTATCACAAATTGTAATATTTTGCACTACTAACGTTTACACGAGAAATCACATTCACACATCACATTAACATAAAAATATCACATTGCAACATATGTTATAACCAAATGTTGAACATAACATACTAGTGATAAGGTCCAGCTTGACGTCCCTGGGCTGTGCGCGGTCTGCGTCCCGCGCGCGTACAGTCAGCGCCACAGTGCCCACCGGCGCGTCCTCCGGCAGAGCGCCGCTCAGTGCGCCGCTGAACACCGGCGGAGAGTTCTGGACGTCCACCACCTTTACCTCTACCGGAGCGCTCGAGTTCAGTGACCCGTCCTGCAATAACAATATGGCAATGTTCAGGATGTTTCAAAAATATTTATGCACGTATTAGTCCTTATATTTTCAACTGTTGTTTCGAAGAAAATCCGGAAATGAGCTTGTGTATTGACTCAACACTAGCCTTACTGGGGTATCGACGTTTGTGTCCCATTCTACCTCTGGACTTTGTAAGGAAAGCACGTCATTCGCGCCAAATGATTCTAACTAATAAGGTCTAAAACTGTGAATATTTGCGTTTGGCAAGGACGTGCCTACGTATTTTTGAAACCGAAGGCGTAAACAAGTTCCTAAAGTTTTGTAAATATTTACACATTTATGCAGCTGACTGTACTACGTAACGTTATTGTTCAGTCCATCGTCTTGAAACGTAACACGGAGTAATGTTGTCTAAATATACTTTTGTTTGTTTCGACAGTGGAATCCCTCAGTAATACTTACAGTAGCATACAACTGGAACTGATAAAACTGGTTCTCATTATAGTCGAGTTTCTTCTTCAGCACCAATGCCCCGGTGTACTGATTGGCGGTGGAGTGCAGGCTCGTCACTTCGAATACCTCACATGCTTGCGGCCACTGGAAATAATATAGGAACAATTTTATTCATACCGTTTACATATTTAACCGATAGATGGCGATGTTCGCTAAGAATTACCTGTTCACTGGGTTCACAGCCGACTTCCAAGCTATCTCCGACAGAGTCTAGATCTTCTACCTTGATGTTAGTAAGGATCGTCTTGCCAACTTCCTCGTCTTCCGCTACATCCACTTCATATGGACTCTGAAAATAATTATAAAAATTTATTCAGATTAATTGAGCTGTCCACTTAAAAATTGTCTTTATATATTGAATATCAAATTAAAAAAATTTCCTTTATTCTTATAAGAAATAATTATAGATGTGATGAGTATACTTCGCTATGAAAAGGATCCTTTTTATAATGTTCTTGTAACCATCTAACTTATAACAAATGTATATGAGTAAAGCCTTGTATTATAAAAAGATATATATTTACATTTTTAAATATCGGCGGGTTATCATTCTCGTCTAGAACAATAACAGTCATTGGCTGATTGTGCGTCAGGTTGAGTACGCCCTCTGGGTCCTGGTCTTGTACCGACACTAGGAACTTTATGGTGTCTTCTCTCTGAAAAATTAATAATAATAGTGAAAGTCAATGCTTCGTTATACAGATTTAACCGTGAAATTTAATTGCTTTATTTTTTTCTGTTTTTTTAAAGATATATATATATATATTTTTTACAAATACAGCGACATTATTCACACTTACTTCTCTATCCAAAGGCTGTATCAAGGTGATCTCTCCAGTATCCGGATTCACTGAGAACTTGTTAGTACCAACAAGATCGTATTTTACCTGAAAATGTCACAAAGGTAAAAAAATATTTATTTTATCTAGGGCTCTATAAAGTTTGTAAATCACAAACAGTGAATTTACATACCGGCAAACCTTCTGGATCCGTTCCATTTAGCGTGTGCACAACTTGACCGACTGGGGTGCTCTCTGACAACGCCAAGTTGTCAACATCACCCGCAAACCCCGGCAGCTTGTTTGATGATCCTGAAATTATAACACAGCATTATGGTGCCATCTATCCTTCAATTTTGTCTTTCGTTTTAGTCAATTCCTTTTGATCACTCACAAAACTTTATCCCGTTTCAATCGAACGCCTAAATTATGTAAACAGATCACCTTCAAATTTCAAACATGGCGGCAAACAGAATCGTTAAACTCTGTACATGGCCGCCAATATGATATTAAATTTATTCATAAATACAATTCTTTAAGCTAGTTCCATAGATATCTCGTGTCGGAGGTCAAGAGTTTCACTTTGGATAGTAACTTGTTTGTAATTTAGGCTTACTAATTTACTTGTCGGTTTCAGAGAAAACCTTCTGTAAAAGAAACCCTGTACTCAAAGGTAATAGTGCTAATAACTTCGTAGTTGTTAGAAAACAAGTACATAAGTACTCAGGTATGGCCGAGCACAATGTATTATGTATTAAGCTTTCACTTTGAAAATATCTACTGACCACCGCACCTTTTATATGGAAAGTGATTTTTTTTTTAAATATAGTATCTATGTATTGATAGAATACCAATCAAAAATATTTCGTTAAAGAGAAATATATATATATATATATATATATATTTCGAGACAATAAATTTAGTATCGGTTCCCACAACCCATATATATGGCTTCAATCCAAAACTTAGTTATTGAATTTAATGTTTCTCTTTTTACTTAATTTTGGCTTTGTGTCTGTGTCATGAATTGGTGCCGCGGGCTCTTGAACTTATTTTTTACGACACAATGTGGAATAATTGAGCATTGGTGGCTCAGGGGTTAAGCACTTGTCTTGCAATCTGCCGGTCCTGCGTTCGAATCCCGCCGTATACCGATGTCGTTTTCGTTATTCGATAACATATGTACGTTTATCCGAAATTCTTACGGTGAAGGAAAACGTCGTAACGCAACCTGAAGAAATTTAAAGATATGTTTGAAGTAAAGCAACCCGCACTGAGCTAGCGTGGTTGACTATGGCCTAGTCCCCCTAACTTAAGGTAGGCTCCGAGCACCTCAGTGGGAACGTATAATGATCTGATGATGAATGTGGAAGAATTAAGACATGTGTAAATCTGTTCAATTGTTTTGATTACAATGAATTTCTGTAGACAACTGATATTACTGTTTTGATGACGCAGTAATTTAACACAATCAAATATTATGGCTTCGATATCGAATCAAAGCATAACATTTGAGCAATCGATCATGTTTAATAATAATTATGCGTTTTAAATGATTCGTGCATCAAAGAACGTATTCAAAACTTATGTAGTTGTTATACACTTATGTATTTCATAAAGCAAAAGAGTCGAAATTGATAAACTATTATGATAATTACTTGAAACTTGATATATGTTGAAAAGTAAATATATAACATTACCTGTGCATATGCATAGCGTCGCAAACAGAACGACGCAATGCCACCGGGCCATACTCGTCGATCTGAAAGCAGAAAAAGTATATTTGAAACATATTTAAACGAAAATATTTTACATACATCGTCGATTTTACTCCTCTATATCGATCTAGTCATTATTGTCGTTAATGCTTACTTAATCATGACACATTCCATGCTAATTCCACCAATTCATCTATCTTTTCCTTGGTTTTCTTCTACCGATTTTGCCCTTCACATTTGTCCTAATAAATTAGTCGTATACAAAGTGTAATACAACAAATGTTTTTTTTAACAAAAGAGGTACTTTATTGTGTCTAATTGCTGCAGTAATTGAGTTAACTAATTCGACCCGACCTTGTACCTTAAGATCTATCAGGAAACCGTTAAATCGCTACAATTGAATGATTGCTTGTGTTCGTAATTCGCGAACAGGGTCACAATCAGTCAGAATTGATAGCTGTTTACATTAGAAACCAGAAAGTAAAACTTCTAAAGTAACGCACACTGATAATGTGTGAACATTTGGATTAAAATTAGGACCTCTAAATAACTGTCATACTCAGAATATATTCCTCATACTAAACACACACTTAATGCTTTCCTTAGTAGCTATAGAACAACTCTTAAGTGTAGCAGGTAACAATTCAGCCAATTAACGGATTGGAGAGAATTTTGGTTCTTATTTGTAAGTATCCATTGTATTCCGATGTTTAACTTCACAAGATGGAGATAACATGAAGCTTGGGAAGTACCTTGGACACCTCGGCGTCACAGCATTCTGTTGTGACGTGAGACAATGGATGTGTTGCAACAATCTCTGACAATTATTTTGCTATTAAACTTTGATTCATTTCGTAAAGTATTGCACAAGACTGACCAAGATTGATGTAAAGGTAACCATGTTCTACTTTGAAAGATTTCTGATATTTTTATATTAGATGGCGTATCGGCACTATATTTTTAATTTAATAGGTAATAATATTTAGAAATGTCGCTCTCGCGATACATTATTGTTGGGTCATGTGAGTCAATAAATGTCAAAAAAGCAAGTTTTATCTGAGCATAAAATGTCAAAAGCAAAGCCAAAACATGTCAATTATTTTCACAATTTGTTTCCTTTTCCTAAATCATCCGACGTTTTGTCTTATTCAGCAGAATTAAGAGGTTATTTCCTTATTTATTTGATGTACTACATACGTGATACAACACTGTTTATATCTTAAAATTCATTTTACACTGAAAATTTAAGGTCAAAATACGAAATCAAGTACAAAACGTGTACATGGTTGATAGTAAATCGGGTTATCCTTAGGTCATTTAAACATAAAGTTAAAAGTGCTGAGCCAAGCGGCAACTGCGGACACTCGGTCAAGGTGACGTTACTTCTAAAACTAGTCGTACATTCTCTCTTTAACACGTTTCGCACGAGTGTAGTCAGCTGCATAAATATGTTTACATTAACAAAGCTTCAAAAACTTGCATACGCCTTCGGGACAAAAATATGTATGTATGCACGTATCGGTATATTTCCAACTTTAAAAACTTGCTATAGACGAAGACATGCTTACATATTTCTAAAATCGAAAGGCTATACAAGCTTCTAAATTTATGTAAAATTTACATATTTATGCAGCTGACTGTATACGTGAAGTTGACACTTTATAATAAAGAAATTAAAATTATTTAAGTATGTATATATGTAATCATAGAAGAGATATTGTTCTTTATAATGGTTAATTTTAATGTCCAGCCACACTGGACCAGCGTGGTTGACTATGGCCTAACCCTTAACTTAGGGTAGGCTCTGAGGCCCTCGGTGGGGTCATATAGTGAGCTGATGATGATGAAATGGCCAGATGCAAGCTCGACACACGAGAAATTAAATATAAAATTAACCAAAATAATACTTACATTATGTACTTAGTACTCCTGCTACCAACACCGTTTAACGTTTACTAATAAGGTGAAGCACTAACGCCGTTCCAATTACATATTGTTACTAGGGCCAGGTGTGCGGAACATTAGGGTACGTAATAAATTGCGGTTCATTACACAATAAAACAATGGTGTTTATACTTGATTGGTCCACAATACCCAGTTTATGCGTTTTTATTATGTATGAATAGGGGCTACATTTGACGGCTGAATAGGAAATATTTGTATAACCTAAAATCACAAGTACCTAACTGTTGTTTAAAACATGTTTTATTTTCATTTTCATAATAAATCGTAGTGTAAAAAGTCACCCCTGTTAAGGTAGTCTTCGAGCTCCTCAGTGGAGCCATATAGTAAGGCGGTGATGATGAAAAAATCATATTGTAAAATTATTTTAGTGCTTTATCTATTATAAATTACATTTTTATCAATAGATGGCGTTGTCCTTGTCCAGTATTTAAATAACCTATACAACGTATGTATAACATTCAAGGTTATGAATTTTACTGCTACTAGCTGTTGCACGAGGGAAATAACGCTTCCATGTTTAGCTACAAAAGGTATGAAAGCGAATATGTTAATTTTATTAATCATTTGTGTAACATGTGAACAAACATTAAAACAGGATATTAATGTACGTCCTGGTAAGTTTGTATACAAGTCTATTTTAGTGTAAACAATTTTTTCCCGAAGAAAAAAAAAGAATTACAAAGAAGTTAGATATTTGTTGCGTTTCATAATAAAAATTATAGTAGTGTGTTTACGGTGTTAACGTACCGTAAGATTATAAACTGATGGTGTTCATAACTAAGACGGATCTGTTATGACAGATCGTTTAAGTATTTTGTAAGCGGGTTAGCGGCATACCGGGCGGTACAGAATTCAGAGTGATTTGTAACAATGGTATCATTACGCAAGTTGTCGCAGTTGGGTAAGCAGAGATGTTGTGTCGTGAGAACTCTTACATATGTCGCACCTTTGAGGAATTACTAAATTTGTTTGCAATGTCTCTATAGCCTCTTTCTCTTTTCACCTTTTAATATAAGAAAAGGATGGGAAGGGGATCCTCTTTAGACTTTTATTTTTACAATAGCAGTAATTATAATTGATATAGAAATACATTAGCTGAATACTACGCAATAAGATGTTTTATTTAGTTCGATATTTATGCGTGGTAAGTGTTGTCATATAAAAACCGTTCGATCTACCATTGCATGGTAATGTTGCTTTGAATTATTCATCTGAATGCAGTTCTATCATAGACTTACTGTTTCCAACATTCCTCAAAGCCAATGATTTCCTGTATCCATTTTTTGTGTCATTATAATTATAGTTATTGAGCAATAGCTGTCGACCGCGACTCCGTCCGGGTGGAATGTCAAATCATATACATCTATGCCTAATTTTTGCGAGATCTGTGCTGAAGTTTTGGAGATACTTTCTAACAAATCCATCCATACATACATCCATACATTCAAACATTTACATTTAAACATTAATATTACCAAGCTATTAAACTTCGATTAACGATAGTTGAAATATTTCGAATTCCATCTATTTTTACAATAGCTATCAGTATTTTAATGTTTACTTATAAAAAATAATATTATAGCATTAATATTTAATTGAATAATAATTTAAATGAAAGCAAACTACCTTTTTTCCACTTATGGAAAATAGCTCAGTACATTTAAATCTGGCAGAATCCAGGCAGTACCTTTTACACCAACATAAAGTCTGATAAAAAACACAAGTAATGGCGGCTTACAGCCGTGTACTGCATTTGACCTCAGCAATTTGCCTCCGTTACTTACAAGACAGGGTTGTCACTGTATTTTAACAAATAAATTATTTATTTATTTGTTAAAATACAGTGACAACCCTGTCTTTAATTTGTTTTAGTTGTTCTTACAGCAAATTTTAGGTATAGCGGCTACTTTTATAATTACTAATAAACCAAACGATCGTGCGAAATAAAGAATGAAACAACAAAAAAAGGGCAAGCCCAAATTATTAAGATAAACTAGACGGAATAAGATAAGGACAGGATATAGGCAAAATAGTTATTTAATCCTATTTCTACTCTGTTCGCTCGCAAATTACATTAATCTTGGTGTTTAACTATAACCAAGCAAAACCCAATCAGTAAACCATAAACAATAGTCTGCTATTCAAACTTTGGTAAATCAATAAATTTAGTATAGTTTGACAACCCTAATAGCCGTAACTCGCTAGACAGTTACGCATAATGTGATATTGGAACCGCAGCCCGCGTAACTAACCGAAATAATGACAAATTTACCTTTAATGGCGCAACGATTGACACCAGCGGATCTATTATAATTATAAGAACAGCATTATTAAGTACCTAGGCTCGTAACAAAGGTCATCAAAGTCTGATGATAACTGCTTGCCTTAATGAGGCATTTAAAATGACACCGTGTTTTGTTTCGTCGTTCACAAATTAAGAATGGAGGAACTAGTTACTTGAAATTAAATGATTTAACCTTGTGGTCATATCTAGCAGCTCTAGTACTATAACATATTATTGGTGACCACCAGTCGCATATCTAATGACCATTAGATATGCGACTAACTACATTTTTTGGAATAAAGTTTATAAAAGTTCTCAATTCTATAAATATTGTGTATTTTATGGAAATTATCTTTCAAAAGTCGATCACATGAAATGAAAATTATCTTAACCTCGTCGAAGTTATTTTGTGCAATTTAAAGTCAATTTCTAATAAAAAATCATTTTAATATATTCGTATCACGTAATCAATTTGCGAAACAACGACGCTTTTTGCATTGAAATAAGGTTCAATATCCGATATACGTGTTCTAGACAATCGTGTAAGGTAATTTAGGTTGTAAGAATGACCCAGATTGTACCGTTATTCTGTAAAATACAACGTTATGTTGAATTTCTTTGTATTTCACTCTATCAGCCTCAATACGCGCTAATAAAAGTTTCGCAAAGTTTCAACAACTAAGTCAAGGCCAATTTCTATTCGCCTTTTCACCCTTTCCTAAAAAAGAAAGATTTGACAAGGGAGGGCATAGAAAAATTTTTTATTACGTACGTTGTACTGTAAGCGACGCATCT